AGTGAGAATATCCTTAGATGAGGCTTAAATCAGCTGATGTGCTTAACTGAATTCCTTCAGTGTCCCACACAGATTGTACTAGAGCACGTGTTTGGGTTCCTATTGTTTTTACCTGTGATAATAAAGTTTCTGACTGTAAAACAGAACCTGGAGATACCTTCTTTTTAATAGAGATGTTAGTATATTCCATTTTTCATCTTGAGCCATTCACTTTCAGTCTTAACTGCTGATTCTTGATATCCAACAGCCAATGGAACCCTGGCATTTTGCCCTGTCAACACAGGAGTACCATCTGTGGTGAAAGAGTAACTATAGACTATATAATACATGGAGAAACAATTCACGGTTTGTTGACTTCGCCATTCTGCTTCCTAGTGCTTTTCTAGGAGTGTATTGTGAAAGTGAGAATAGGCTATATAGCCAAAGATTTGTATTCATGGCACGAAGCTGAAAGCTGCTACCATCTTGGTGGTAGGGCAGCATGCTCTCTGGTATTAGCAAGGGACAGGGAAAGCCAAGACAAGAAAGCCAGCATCCCCTTTGAAATGCTCATTTAAATCAAGCTCCAGATTATACTTAAAGAAAAGTCATGGCCAGATGTGGTGGGTCATGCCTGTTATCCCAGCACTTTGGGAGGCTGAGGCGGGCGAATTGCTTGAGGCCAGGAGTTTGATACCAGCCTGGCCAACAACAGAGGTGCAGTGAGCAACCTCTGCCTCTGCACTCCAGCCTGGGTGACAGAGTGAGACTCTGTCTCAAAAAAAAAAATTAAATAAATGAAGAGGAGGAGTCATAACGTCCATTAGTTTCAAGGCCCTGGGCTTCGCCAGGGAGACACATGATAGCTACTGGATGTTTATTTTTTGAGATAGAGTCTCACTGTTAACGTAGGCTGGAGTGCAGTGGCGTGATCTCGGTTCACTGCAACTTCTGCTTCCTGGGTTCAAGTGATTCTTTTGCCTGAGCCTCTGGAGTAGCTGGGACTACAGGCATGTACCACCATGCCCAGCTAATTGTTTTTTTTTTTTTTTTTTTTCTTTTTGAGACGGAGTCTCACTGCTGTCTGCCTGGGCTGGAGCGTGATGGCATGATCTTGGCTCACTGCAACCTCCACCTCCCGGGTTCCAGCAATTCTCCTGACTCAACCTCCCGAGTAGCTGAGATTACAGGCGCCCGCCACCACGCCTGGCTAATTTTTTTGTATTTTTAGTAGAGACAGGGTTCCACTGTATTAGCCAGGATGGTCTCGATCTCCTGACCTTATGATCTTCCTGCCTTGCCCTCCCAAAGTGCTGGGATTACAGGCATGAGCCACCATGCCCGACCAGCTGTTTAGATATTTTATCAGGTATTCATCAGTCCCACTGTATATTAAATGGCAAGAGAGAATCCCACCAATTCTAGTCTTCTAGTCCTTTTATGTTGTTCCCAAAGCAGTCCTGGGTCAAATGTATGTGGAAAATGGCTGAGAATGGACAGGATAGCTAAGCAACCCTCTGTGCATTACATAGAGATACCAAATCCTACTGGACAGAAGAAATAATGTAAGGACATCCTCAGATGAAGCTTAAATCAGCCAATGTGCTTAACTGAACTCCCACAGTGGACTTCGCACTAGAGGGAGGACAGATTCAAAATAAGTAGACATGGTCTTTGCCCATAGGGAATACACAGTTTAATGGGGGAGACAGTAAATACACAGACTTACAAAAGAAGAAAAACTCCACAAGGTAGTAAGTGCCACATTGAGTGGTTAAGATCATTCAAAGTAAGGCCTTGATGTGGCATGCCAGGAAATAGAAATAGGTGTAACACTGGGATCAGCTTTTGAACCAGGACTTCAGCATGACAGCCTAGCAAAGAAGAACATCAAAGCACAGTGTACCCGTGTTCTGGGGCAAGGCATATTGACTACTTATATCTTTTTCAGCCACCACTATACTCACAGTTGGTAAGCATTTAATCAGCAATAGTTTTAGTTATAAAGGACAGCGAGATAAATGTGTGGCATAAATTTAATTCAGAATCTGGGCCAAAGCCTGATACCAAACCTTTACAGCAAAGGGTCATCTGGAGCTGAAGGAAAGGCTCCCTGAGCAAGAGACAGAGTAAAGACTAGGAAGACTTGGGGAAGGTTTAAATTTCATGAGGTGTTGGTAGTATAACCAAAAACCACACTACTACAAATTCCCAAGGTTGGTGAGAGCTGTTCTTAGCTGGGTAGGTCCCTCAGGGGTCCTCAGGAATCTGTCTACCTGGGTGGGTTGAGACAGAGTAGAGAGGAAGGCTAGCGGGTGGCTTGGCTGAAGTTGAACCCTAAGGTTGAGCTAGCCCTTCTTCCCGGTGTGTGAACCCTCTAGGTCAGGGGTAGGGCTCATCTGGGGAACCTACTGAGAGTGCCACGCCTAGCTCATTAGTGGCTGTCTGGGGAGGCCTTTTGAAGATGAAACACTTCATAAGCACTCATTGTTTCTGTTTTTTTGGACAAACTAGTACTTTGGTCTTCAGGGACTGTTGATGTGGCTCAGTTGCACTAGTCTGGAATTTGCTGCAAACTGAGAAGGGTGGTAGGGGGAAATGTCAGAAGTTTTGTAAAAACAACCAAACTCCCACCAAACCCCCATGCTTGTAAGTAGGATTCCTCCCCGTCCACCTTTCACATTCTTGGGTTTGGGTGCACTTTGTCTTGACCTGTCCCTTTGGCTGCTGTGTTTGGGGTGTGTGTGTGTGTCTCTGGTTCCCAGACTCTAGAGAATGCCAGCAGCTGGCATATGGTGATTGCTGAATAAGCTGCCTGCTGACACATGCCTCCTGCAGGCACAGAGAACTGGCTTGTATGGGTGATTCTGAATCCTCATTTTATTATTGTTTCAAAGATGCATTTCTGTGGCTATCCTGTGCCATAGAGAAGAGAGAAAAGAAGAAAGGAAATGAATGAGTGAGTCTGATTCTGTCTGTTGGGGCAATGGCTGGGGTGAGCAGATAGACATTTTGTACCTTCATAATGATTCTTTTGGTCGTGTTCATCCTTTTAGCAGGTATTTTTTGTTGTTGTTGTTTTTGTTGTTGCAGTTGTTGTTATTATTATTATTATTTTGAGACGGATTCTTGCCCTGTCACCAAGGCTGGAGTGCAGTGGCATGATCTCAGCTCACTGCAGCCTCCACCTCCCGGGTTCAAGCGATTCTTGTGCCTCAGCCTCCCGAGTAGCTGGGACTACAGGAGTGTGCCACCATGCCCGGCTAATATTTGTATTTTTAGTAGAGACAGGGTTTTACCATGTTGGCCAGGCTGTTCTCAAACTCCTGACTTCAAGTGATCCACCTGCCTTGGCCTCCCAAAGTGCTGGGATTACAGGCGTGAGCCACCGCACTTGGCCTCAGCAGGTATTTGTTACGTGCCTACTATATACCAGGCATAGCATCCAATCTGAGTGAGCCGTCAGTAAAGTCAGTAGAGACCCTGGGGGTTAGTTCAGTTTTTCAACTACTGTGTCCTTGGCACTATTCTTGGTACTGGAGACAGAGCAGTGAACAAAACACATAAGGAGCTGAAATCTTAGGTAGAATAAAACAATCAGCAAGAAATAAATATATAATGTGTCAGATGGTGATAAATGTTATGAAGAAAAGTGGGATAAATGGGGTAGAGAGTGGTGTGTGTCTGTGTGTGTGTGTTATACAGGTGGTTGTGGGAGGCCTCTTTGGTAGGAGACATTGGAACAGACAGGTAACTGAAGGGGGTGAAGGAGTAATCCATGATGGCTATCTGAGAGAGAAGCATTCCAGGCAGAGGTGATAGCAAATATGAAAGCTTTGGGCCAGACATGGTGGCTCATGCTTGTAATCCCGTGCCCTGGGAGGCTAAGGCAGGAGGATTGCTTGAACCCAGGAGTTTGAGACCAGCCTGGGCAACATGGTAAGACCCCACCTCTTTAAAAAAAAAAAAAAGCTTTGAAGCAGGAAAGGAAAGTGTTGGAGAATTGGAGTGGAGTAAGCAGAGAGAGTAGTGATCTCCTGACAGAAGTAGGGGAGTGGAGGTCATGTAGGACCCTGTAAGCCATGGTTTGGGCCTTGGGTTGTACTGAAAAGGAGCCATGAAGCCACTAGAGGGTTTTGAACAAAGGAATCATATGACCCGAGTTTGATTTTAAAACCACCCTAGATGCTATATGGAGATTAGGCCGAAAGGCTTAGGGAAGAAGCAGAGAACCAGTGAGATGACTGCCTCATTGCAGCGACCATGTGGGACAGCCCCCTCCTTGGATGGGCCACAGTGAGCCAAGGATGCACCTAGCTGAGGAATAAAGGGGTAACCCCGCCATACCCCACCTCTCTACTCCCAGTGCCCTGTTGTTTGAATAGGGCACAACATTTGCAGTTGGCATTTCACAGAGTGTAAAGGATCAGCCTCTTTTAGGAGTACGGCTTTCTTATTCCTCATTTATTTTGGTGTGGAAGAAAGATGGAGTTGCAGAAATACAGGACGGGAAGAGGCAGAGTCTCTTGATTAGAGGAGAGAGCATAAACCTTGGGAAACTGGCAAGCCTGAACCTTGTCGGGAGTCACAGAGAGCCACTCCTCATTCCACTCCCTCCTCTTCCACCCTTGCCAGAAGTCTCAGGGTAAGTAAGGTTAGGGGAGGGAGAGGCATTAATGATCTTGCAATGCCTTGGGGTATAGGGTAGAATAGCAGAACTGAAGGGACTTCAGAAATCATCTAGTTCAGTCCCCCTTTCATTTACAGGTGCAGATATGGAAAAGTGAAGTAACTTGCCCAGAGTCACATGGTTAGATTACTGGCAGAGCAGGGATCCTTAGTGTTTACTGCTTTGTCTCTGTTCCCAAAGACTCAGTATGTTAAGTGGGACTTGGTATTTATAGTCCCCTCAGACTCTCGGTTTGTCATGAATGAACTCTAGCCATGACCTTGGGAAATTCTAATTATGTGGAAGTCCTGACAAGCAAATGATGGTACGATTTTACATTTCCTTTGTCTAGGATCAGGTCTTCCATACCAGGGACCAGGCCAAAACCAGACTGCCACTGCCCCCTACTTGGGCCCCACTGTCCCCAGAAAGCAGTTGCTGTGATCATGGGCAATATCTTTGGAAACCTTCTCAAGAGCCTGATTGGGAAGAAGGAGATGCGCATCCTGATGGTGGGCCTGGATGCCGCAGGAAAGACCACCATCCTATACAAGCTGAAACTGGGGGAGATCGTCACCACCATCCCTACCATTGGTAAGAGCAGAGCTTGGATGTGGGCTTTCATGCCGGCAGCTGAGGCAGGGCAGGGACCTATTCCTGGTTCTCCCACCTGGCCTCTTCTCCCCAGGCAAGTCCATACAATTTGTGGGGTTCAGAAAAGAGGGGGGTGTTGTTTAGCTTACTAGCAGATGCTGGGGCTGCTGTTTGCCCACCTAACCTGGCTCTCCCTGATGCAGGAACTTCCATGGCCTGGCACTCAACAGTTGCCCTCAGGCATGGAGTTGGTTTTTTCTCTGTGTTGTTTGGAAAGCAGGTGAAAGGCTTTGATGTTCCTTCCAAAGGCTTGGAATTGCTTGGGTTTAGGTCTTTGGTGGCCAATCTTGGTTACAGTCTGCTGAAGGGAGGGAGAACATTTGCCATGTAGTGGGGGCTCCAGTCAGCATTCTCAGCTGGCTCTGCCTTTGGGGCTCCAGGATGCCAGCTTACTTCCCTTTCTTCACTCTGCCTCTCAGGCCCCACATCTAAGTTGAGGCTAACTCTGGTAGCCAAAGTACTAGAGTAGGGCTGAGTCATTTTGTAGAAGGGAGCACCAAAGACTCAGTGGAAAAGTCAGGAAAGTTGGCCCACGTTACCCAAGCAACTGTGAACCTCTTGACCGACTTTCCTCATCTTCTTCGACTTCTCTTCGGTTTTCATTTTGGCCTTCAGGCTGCTAGGTTAACGATTACCAGGTCTGAGGAAGCCTTAGGTTTTTTTCCATTGTTGGTGTCATGGCCACCACTGGGAGAAAGCAGAACCAAACTCATTGTGGTCGTGGTTGCGGGGCTAGTGTTTGAGGCCAAGTGACCATTGCCTGTTTTTTTTCCAAAGGATTCAATGTGGAGACAGTGGAGTATAAGAACATCAGCTTCACAGTGTGGGATGTGGGTGGCCAGGACAAGATTCGGCCCCTCTGGAGACACTACTTCCAGAACACCCAAGGTATGCCCAGGCCTAGCATGGGTTGGTTGGGTTTGAGCAGAGTGTGTGGCTGTCTTTCTTGTTTATGGGTGGCCAACTGTTACCCTGCTATAGCTCCTGGGGGCAGAAGAAAGGGAGGAAAGGGAGCAAATATTTGGAGGGTGTCAGGCAAGTGTCTTCTTGTTGGGGGGAGGGGGTTACCTGTCATCTGAGTGCAGCCCATGCTCTGCCTCCCTAGGGTTGATATTTGTGGTCGACAGCAATGATCGGGAGCGAGTAAATGAGGCCCGGGAAGAGCTGATGAGAATGCTGGCAGAGGACGAGCTCCGGGATGCTGTACTCCTTGTCTTTGCAAACAAACAGGTGAGACTTCTTCCCACCCCAGAATCTGGGAGACAGCAAACTGGCTGTGGAAATTGTTGGGTCTTGGGCCTATTATATGGTAAACCCTTTTAGTATGCTCTCAATTTTAGAAGTGTGGGAAATTGAGCAGTTGGCTTCTTTATGCCCCTCTTCTCGTGCCCCACCCCAGCTTTATTTAGCAACATTGCAGTCCTCAGGGATTGCCTCAAATCTTTCTTTCATCTTGCCTATTATCTACTTTAGGTGAATTGGCCTCACTCCTGCTGTCAGACAGACCTGATTCTTTGGTCAGTTTGAATCACGTCTCTTGCTTCCCCACCAATCTCGTATTTGGTTTCCAATTCCTCAGTACAGTGACCTCTAGTGCCTTGGATCTTGGGTTTTAGGGTGACTAAATCCAAAGTAGCTCCTTAGGATCTTGGTCTGGGTTTCCTAAAATAAAGGAGGAGGGGAAGGTGCTGGTACACATTTCTTTGGTAGATGGGTGTTCTAGAAGCCTTTAAAAAATCCTGAGGCTTCTTTTTGTGTGTCTCCCACGTGCTCCAGGATCTGCCTAATGCTATGAATGCTGCTGAGATCACAGACAAGCTGGGCCTGCATTCCCTTCGTCACCGTAACTGGTACATTCAGGCCACCTGTGCCACCAGCGGGGACGGGCTGTACGAAGGCCTGGACTGGCTGGCCAATCAGCTCAAAAACAAGAAGTGAGAGCCAGACAGCCCTAACCAAGCACCCCACCCACCCCTGACATACCTGCTGTCACCCTGCCCTAGTCCTACCCCTTCCTCTCCACTGCAAGTGTGGCCAGGGCCCTGGGTATCATGTCCGCATGCCCAGCAAGAGCCTTGCCTCCCCTGCCTCCCCTCCTTTTTCCTGTCCACCTATATGACCAATCCCTAATTGCTGTCCTGATGATGAGTCATTCCAATTTACTGGATTTTAAACAAAAACAAAGTTGTTATGGTTTCATGGGGTGGCCCCTCTCTCTCTCACCCTCTGGGTTTCGGGAGGTCGAGTGGGGTATTCTCTTTGTTTGGCAGTGGTTGCTGTCCTCTTGGCATCTGAATCCTTTCTCTGTCCCCACAAGCCCTTCTACTCCCTGTTTGTCTTTCCTTCGCCACCCTCTCCCTGTTCTACATGGAAATTGCACGGGCCTCTCTGTGTTTGCGTGCATGTGTGCGCCTGTATATACATGTATAGAGAGATATATTTGTGGGGGCCGGGGGGAGCGGGGAGGGGGTGGAGTTAAGCTCAGGGCTTGCAGCCAGGACACTGCCCACTGGAGCCTGTCATCTGCCCCTTTCGTGTTGGTGAGATTAAGGGAAGAAGGTGGGAGGGCATTAGTCAGGCCGGACTACCCCAGTCTTTGACTGGTTACCCACCTCTCTGCAGTTAGGTTTTTCTGGATGGTAGGACAGATGATGGATCCTCCACCACCATTTTCCTTGTACTCCTCTCTCCACCCTTCTTAGGACTGGAGGGTGGCATTTATCTCTAGATGACTGTTCTCAAGGAGATGCCACTGTGCTCTGCCTTATTGTTGGGAAGGAGAGAGGAACCCACTCACTCTTATCAGCTTAGAGTGTTCAACTGATCCTTCCCGACCATCCTCAGATCTGTTCGTCTGGAGCTTGACTAAGGGGTGGGGATGGCAAGTCCGTGGTGTGTGTTAGGGACCCAGGGCGTTGGGGGAAGGGAGGCGAAGGCCTCAGGCTTTCCATCTTCATTCTTTTTTGTTATTAGGAGGTGAGGCATGGATCAGTCCCATTACTGCCTTCCAGTGCCCCACCACCCTTCGATCTTGGGCGCTGGATGGTTCATCTGTCTTTGGTCAGAAGTTTTCTCACCCTAGTACTCCTGTTGGCCTGACCAGGGCTACTGGGTGTTCTAATGAGGAGCTGGGAAGTGGGGTGACATAACTGACCTTAGTATCAACCCCCCTCTTCTCCAATTCTTGTTTTCTAATCCAGGATGTGCTAAAGGATGAAGATTTTCTATTGTTTCCAGGCCCTCAGACCATCCTTGCTGTCCCTTCACCCTCCATGCCCCTGCCCTCCTCACCCACTTCTCATAAATGGATCTAGGGGTTAGAGTGGAGGAAATAAAATCCTGAAGTGGTTGTCAGTGCTTGTGGGATGCAGTGGTCTTCAGGGTTCTCCCCGCATTATTATGTAGTTGTTCAGAAGTTGCTGCTACTGCATCTCTGTCTGCAGGGGGCCCTTGTCCCTGAGGTCCTGGCCTGGGTCCTGACTTCTGTAGTTTCTGTGAAGACGTAGCTGTCCTGTGGGCTTCTGTGTGTGCTGGCTGCGCCCTGAGCTTCCAGACAGCTGTCCATAACCTTTCTGTGAAGGTCAGGGCCCAGGGCCCCCCATAGCATAGCTGAGAGATCCCTTCCCAGTAGGGCTCTCCCAAGCCCCACTCCATGAGGCCAGGTTTCCTGGCCACTTTTATCGATAGCAGGTGGATCAATACTAGTAACCCCATCCAAGATTGAACTGTGAAAGAGAGGTTCCAGGGGTATCTCCCTCAGTGCCAGTTACTTAGTGATGTGTTATCCACGATGCAGCAGGTGTGTGCAGGTATCTTGCTCTCTAGGCCTGTGGGTGTGTGTGTGTATGGGTGTGGGTGTGGGTGTGGGTGTGTTTGTGTATGGTGCTTGTGTGGGGGGGGGTGTTGGAGGTTCTATTTCATTTAAAAATGTATTCATTACCCTGGCCCCACAGATGCTTCCCTCCATACTTTTTATTTGCTCTATTTCCTCAGATTTATTTTGTCCTGCCCCATTGCCTCTCCTTTCCTGAACTCTTTCCTTTTCAATCTCAACTCATTCACTGCTGTTGCTTGTTTGCCCTTTTCCATGTATTTTTTCCTACTTAGGATTTTCCACTCTATCTTTGTGGTTCATGAGGACTTTGCCTCTTCTCCTGCCTCATTCCCTGACTTTCTCTAGTTAGATGCCAGTCCTAAATAGGTTTTCCTCATTTCAGGCCTCACCCCTCACCTTGTTTTTGGGGGGCTCCAGGGACCAATCTGGGGCTGAAAATGTTAGGAGGTGGCCTTGGTGCTGCCCCAGATCTGTCCAGCAGGGAGCAGTAAGTGATCTTGGTAGTATCCCTGGCTACTAAACCCTTGGCAGGGGTGGTCCTTTCTACATTCCCATTCACTTAACAGCTCTTTTGGGATTGGGTATTTCATTCCATTTCTGCCCACTCCCTCTCCTCTCCTCTCCTCTGGTAGGTTTAATTTTATGCTTTCCCTGATTCCAGCTTCCTGCTTCCTGAGGACTCCCTGCTCCCCCCACCCCAAAGTTTGTCTGTGGTGTTATAGTGGTAACTGCAGTTCCTTCTCTGGAATGTAGACTGTATATGTTTAATAACTCACCTTCTCTATCCTTGCTCAAAATGTGGGATAACACGATGACTGTGACCCTGGTTGGAAATTAAACTTGTTTTATGCAGCTTTGGAGCAGACCTTCATCTTTGCTGTGCAGCAGCCGTGGGACAGTGGTTTCATGTGAGGGGAGTCCTTTTTCTGGTCCCTCTCTCCATAGTGCTCCTTCTTTCAGCAAAGGGGTAAAAGGCACACTCGATTGATAGAGAGTAAGGTTATGGAGGAACTTAGTCCCACTCACACTGGTTATTTCTTCCCATCGTAACCTGCGGGGGAGCCCAAATGAATTGGGCACCAGAGTGTGAGGGCTTTGTGACTTTCCTCCTCTAGTTCTAAGGTTTAAACCTGAAGTCAGCCACATTTCTCACCTGTTGGTAGACTGTAGGGACTTCACTGGCTGAAAGGCCCTGAACTTGGAGGGCCCCATGTGCCTCTACTCTCAGATCTCCTCAGCCTTGCACATGAGGTGCTTCTAGTTTGAACAGAGTCCCCTCACTAGTCTAGTTCTGGACTTTGGCAGTGAATAAACATGAAGGATAAACGTCTGGGCAGTGTAATGACCTTGATCCTTCTTATAACTAATGGCCCTGCATCAGCTCTACTTTAGGCGTGTGGTTTTTCATTGTCAGGATGCCAAGCTCATCCAGAGATCCCACAAATGTCTGAGAGGCCTCCATCCTCCATCACACTCCTACCACTATTCTGTTCCTCCCCTGCTACCAGTGTCTGGCTCCAGGCAAAGAAAGGGATGGTGCTACCTTTAGGGTGAGTGAGGTCTAGGTGAGCCAGGCAAGCCGTCCCCAGTCTTAATATTTTCTTAAGCTTTGAGGACAGAGGTCTTCCCAGCCTGCTGTTGTGGGAAAGGGATAGGATTTAGGCATATAATAAGTTTGAGAGCCCCAAGTACCAGTGTGAAGCATATAATTTGTATTCAGTTACTTCCCTGCTGCCTCCCCTGCCAATTTTCCTTTTTCAGCGCTTCTGTTATTAATAGGCCATCACCCTCAAGGACCAGTGCTTCCACCATATATAACTCTCAAACTACTCCAACCAGACATGTATTATCAATCCCAATGACTTTGAACATTACCCACCTACTCCTCAAGATAAGATGACACTTTCTTCCTTCCAGGCTTCTCCAAAGTTCTACTTGGTGACAGGCTGCTGATAAGAGTATCTTTCCCAAGTGTTTTCTTTCTTTCTTTTTTTTTTTTTTGAGACGGAGTTTCGCTCTTGTTGCCCAGACTGGAGGGCAATGGCGCAATCTCAGCTCACCACAACCTCTGCCTCCCGGGTTCAAGCCATTCTCCTACTTCAGCCTCCTGAGCAGGTGGGATTACAGGCATGTGCCACCACACCTGGCTAATTTTGTATTGTATTTTTAATAGAGATGGGTTTCTCCATGTTAGTGAGACTGGTCTTGAACTCCCGACCTCAGGTGATCTGCCCACCTCAGGCTCCCAAAGTGCTAGGATTACAGATGTGAGCCACCACACCCGGCCAGGTGTTTTATTTCTATATTAGCAAATAGATATCTTTCAGAGCTACAACCTCTCATAATGATAATGGAGAGAACTTTAGCTGAATGGTGGGCCAGTAGGGGGTCTTTGGACCCCTGAACAACTTGGAGAAGAGGATGACCTATTCCCTTTTGTCCCTTAGTACTCAATTTAGAATGCTAGGAAGTTGAGGGGAGCCCTCTTGTGGCAGTTGCTGAAACCTTCCTGTTATTTTGAGGGGACGTGGGATGAAGAGGAGACTGAACCTGGGAGGTAAATGCTTAGTACCCAGCTCTTAGGACAAACAGCAACCCCATCTTCCAGAACATGCATAGCATCAGTCATGGACTGGCAGAAGACTTGGACCCAGGGTCCACTTCAGGATAATTTGGGCAAGGGAGCTTCCCAAATGAGCCTGTAGAAAGCTAGTGGAAGGGCTTAGGTTGGCTAAGGTGGGATGGAGGGCAAAACCTTCCCCCTTCATTCCAGAGTATAGGGGCAGTGGTAGAGAATGAATGTATGTGTGGGTTTCTCAGTCTTAAGGTATAAGGTCTGAAGGCTCTGGGAATTCACTGCACACACCACTTGCAGTTCAAGTGCCTAGGTTGGTTACAGCAGGAAGTTGACAAGTGTGTATTTAGTATATTTGGTGTTTTTAGGCATCTGCTAAAAGTAGGCATCTGCTAAAAGTAGGTCAAACCACTGAACTCAGGGAGGAGTCTGGGGATCCATTTCTGGGATGCTGTGAAATCCTTTTGGGATATCTGTATACCACGTTGGGTAGTGAGAGTTGGGGGACACCCCTTCCATTGCTGCTGCTTAGTGTAGGGAGTGGTGTCTTTGGGCAACAGTCATATTATTAAGAAAAGGTTTTTTTTTTTTGAGACACAGTCTCTGTCACCCAGGCCGAAATGCAGTGGCATGATCTCCGCTCACTGCAACCTCTGCCTCCCAGCTTGAAGCGATTCTTGTGCCTCAGCCTTTCCCGAGTTGCTGGAATTATGAGTGCACACGACAACTCCCTGCTAATTTTTTTTTTTTTTTTTTTTTGAGACGGAGTTTCACTCTTGCCCAAGCTGGAGTGCAATGGTGTGATCTCAGCTCACCACAACCTCTACCTCTCAATTTCAAGCAATTCTCCTGCCTCAGCCTCTGAGTAGCTGGGACTACAGGTATGCGCCACCATGCCCAGCTGATTTTTGTATTTTTAGTAGAGATGGGGTTTCACCATGTTGGCCAGGTTGGTCTTGAACTTGTGACCTCAAGTGATTCGCCCACCTTGGCCTCCCAAAGTGCTGGGATTATAGGCAGGAGCCACTGTGCCTGACAGAAAAGCTTCTTTTCCAGTTCTGAAGAGTGTGAAGGTAGGAGAACCAGAATCCAGTTCTCTCACTTTCCAACTCAGTACCTAGAGAGAGAAGAGTATCATGCTGGTCACTGGGGAGTGATAGGATCCGGATGCCTGGCTTTAGGTTATAGACAGGAGATGGAGAATCTGTTCTTGTCTTTGCCAAATCTTGCATTGATGGGATGATACCTCCTTGGTTAGAATAGCCATAGGGGAAGAGTGGAGGAAGGAAGTAACTGCTTCATTCTTGGATGAATGTGTGCATAAACATACCTGAAAGAAAACATCTAGTCAGCTGGGGTTATGCATACCCTTGAAAATACAACACCAGGCCAGGCACGGTGGCTCACTTCTGTAATCTCAGCACTTTGGGAGGCTGATGTGGGAGGATAGCTTGAGCCCAGGAGTTTGAGATCAACCTGGGCAATGTGGTGAGGCCCCATCTCTATATGAAAAAATATATATATATAAAATATGTATATAATTATATATATGATATATATGTACAATTATATGCATATATATATATATTTTTTTACTTTTATTTAAAAATATAGAGATGGGGTTTCACTGTGTTGCCCAGGCTGGTTTCAAACCCCTGGGCTCAAGCAGTCCTCCCACCCCAGCCTCCCAAAGTGCTGGAATTACAGGCGTGAGCCATTGTGCCCAGCCAAAAAAAATGTTTTTAATTAGTTGGGCATGGTGGCACGTGCCTGTGGTCCCAGCTACTCAGGAGGCTGAAGTAGGAGGATTGCTTGAGCCTGAGAGGTTGAGACTGCAGTGAGCCATGTTGCACCACCGCACTGGTGACACAGCAAGACCTGTCTCAAAAAAAATCAAATTTTAAACCCAGATTTGTATATGCCGACTCAGGCTTTTACTTTATTAACAACCTGTTATAAATAAATACTTAAGAACATTTAAAGAGCAGTGTTCTGCTTACTCTTTGGCACATAATAGGCATGCAACCTTGATGAACAAATAGATGAATTAATAAACACCATTGTCTTTAATCAAGCTGGGCATGGTGGGTGCCCCATGAGTCTTGGAAGCTGGGGTACTGTGGTAGGGTTTCTTCTACACACTGACAGAGACACCTTTGAGGGTGGAGGCTTTTCTAGGAATGGTTCTGTGATTAAGTTGTATCTCCAGCCAGGGGTGGGTCAACTCTCCTACTTTTCCAGGAATCATGTCACCTTTCTCTGTTGTTTGGATTTCTTCTAACTTGATCCAAGGAAAAAACTCCTTCTCTGGTCCCTCCAGGGTGCAGGTGGGCTTGTGCTGCCTGTGGGGTGGATATTGTCTTTAATAGTTTTGCCCTTTCCATTTTTACTACCACCCTTTCCTACTCTACTCCTCTTCCCCTTCAGGTTCCTCTTCCCCTTCAGAACAGAGCCTCAGACCTGGATAAGACAATAGCCTTCCACCTTCACGACACTGTTAGAGTCTGCTGATACATCAGTGCAGTATGCTGTGTCATCCTTTTGCTTAGAAACTTCCAATGTGTTCCCATTGCCTTAGTCTGACATTCAAGGTTCTTCATAACTAGCCCTTAATTCCCTCTCCAACCATCTCGCTCTAGACTCTGGCCAAATCCCTTACTTTAGACAAATCAGTCCATTAATTTTTCCCAAACATCTGGCCCTCTGCCTTTACCTCCTTTCTCACTTGTTTAAAAATCCCACTCCAAGATCTTGCTCGTTTCACCTCCTCCACAAAGCTGCCTGTGCCCCCTGCAACCACAAGGACTTTTATAGTTTTTCCCCACGTTGGCTCCTTTAGCTCTGTTAGCACAACTCATTTAACACCTCCCACTCATTCCCCTGTATCACTATATATCTTGTTTATCCATATAATATTTAATATTAAAAATTATTTTCATAACCTGAGAAGTAACATCTGAGCAGGAAAAAATTTATTTTTATAACCAAAGTAATTTTTATTGTAAAAGATCCAAACAATACAAAAATATACAGAGCAACATATGGGACATTCCCCTCTACTACTCTTTCATGCCCAAACGTAACCATCCTCAGCTATTTGATGTGCATCCTTCTAGTTCCTTTTCTAAATGTATGTGCTGATACATGTTTGTGGAGGGGTTAAAATATAAATGGGCTCATATCGCATCTGTTATTCTACTTGCTTTTTTTTACTTAGGGTATATATACATTTGTCTTAGATATTTTCTATATTAGTATAATTAGATCTTTTAATGCCTTCTCAGTATTTCATAGTATAATTTCTTCAAAATAAAACATGCTGTCTAGAATCTATTATTCGGAGGGTATCGTGTAGCTAGTACTTAGCTCCAGACATGATTGCAAGCTTGACCTTGCCATCAGTTAGCTGGCTCTGGGGGAGATAGGAAGGGAGGAATGGGGCATACACAAATAACTGCAACAAAAGGAAAAATATAATAATATCCACAAGTGTATGCCTGGAGCTCCTGGCTAAGAGAATCAGGACTTCACAGAGGAAATGATATTCGAGCTTAGCCTGGAGGGAGCTTGATAGGTAAAAGAAGTGTATGTGTGCAGGCACAGAGATGGAAACAGAAAGATGTAGGTTTGTCTGATGCCAGACCACAGTCCTTGAGCAGGAAGGGAGTTTGGCTTAATTCACAAACATTTACTGAGCATTTATGTGTCAGACATTAATTATACTAGCAATGAAGATTTAGAAATGAGAAACATGAAGTTCCTGTCTCTAAAAGGGATTTAGTTTAATAGAATAAAAGCCAAGTTTGGAAAAGCAGATTAGGGCCGGATGACAAGCTTTCAGTTGTCATGTCAAGGAGTTGGAATTTTATTCACGTGGGCAATGTGAAGCCATGGTAGGCTTTTTAGTGGGCAGATGATGGGACTGAAACTGTAGATAGCAGCAGTGTACACAATGGTCCAAAGTAGGGAGAGGCTAGGGATGAGGGGCTTATTTTTTGAGACAAGGTCTCTGTCACCTAGGCTGGAGTGCAGTGGTGTGATCATGGCTTACTGCAGCCTTGATCTCCTGGGCACAAGTGATCCTCCCACCTTAGCCTCCTGAATAGCTAAGACCACAGGAGCACACCACCATACCTAGCTAATTGTTAAATTATTTGTAGAGATAGGGTCTTGCCATGTTGCCCAGGCTGGTCTTGAGCTCCTGGCGTCAAGCAATCCTCAAGTGATCCTCCTGCCTCAGCCTCCCAAAAATGTTGGGATTACAGGTATGAGCCACCACGCCAAGACTTTTCTTAAACAAGATAGAAGTTTAAAGGCCAGATGCGGTGGCTCACGCGTGTAATCCCAGCACTTTGGGAGGCCTAGGCAGGCGAATCACAAGGTCAGGAGATCAAGGCCATTCTGGCTAACACGGTGAAACCCCATCTTCACTAAAAAGAAAAATACAAAAAATTAGCCGGGCGTGGTGGCGGGTGCCTGTAGTCCCAGCTACTTGGGAGGCTGAGGCAGGAGAATGGCGTGAACCCAGGGGGCGGAGCTTGCAGTGAGGCCCGAGTATTGCCGCCACTGCACTCCAGCCTGGGCGACAGAGCAAGACTCTGTCTCAAAAAAAAAAAAAAAAAAAAAGGAAGTGTCTTTCTGCCTCAGTTAAAAGGTGTCTGGGGCTGTGCATGGGGTGCTCACACTGTGATCCCAGCACTTTGGGAGGCCGAGGCAGGTGGATCACCTGAGGTCAGGAGTTCGAACTGGCCTGGCCGACATGGGTGAAACCACATCTTTACTAAAAATACAAAATTAGCCTGGGTGTGTGGCACACACCTGTAGTCCCAGCTATCCGGAGGCTGAAACAGGAAGAATTGCTTGAACCTGGAGGCAGAGGCTGCAGTGAGCCACAATCGCAGCACTACACTCCTCGCCTGGGCAAGACAGAGTGAGACTTCATCCAAATAAAAATAAATAAATAAATAAAAATTAGCCAGATATGCTCGCTTGAACCCAGGAGGTGGAGGTTGCAGTGAGCCAAGATCACACCACTGCACTCCACCCTGGGCAACAGAGTGAGACTCTGTCAAAAGAAAAAAAAAAATGGTGAGCTGGGCGTGGTGACTGACACCTGTAATCCCAGCACTTTAGGAAGCCGAAGCGGACAGAGATCACTTGAGTCCAGGTGTTCAAGGCCAGCCTGGGCAATATGGCGAAACTGCATCTCTACAAAAAATGTCAAAATTAGCTGAGTGTGGTGGCATGCCCCTGTGGTCCCAGCTACTTGGGAGGCTGAGGCAGGAGCATCACTTGAGCCCATGAGGCGGAGGTTGCAGTGAGCCAAGATTGCACCACTATACTCCAGCCTGACTGACAGAGACCCCCATCTCAAAAAAAAAAAAAAAAAAGGTATCTAGCGGCTGGTCTGAAGATAGGCATCTCAATTGTTCACAGCCAGTTACAGATCGAACTCCTCTTTCCCCCTTCTCACTACTGCACTTGACTAGACTTTTTTTCCCCCCACAAAGAATGGGGCTTCAGATACAACTGAAAAATAAAAGTGTCTGGTGGTAGGCAATCCAGAACTGGCATGGTGGCTCTGCAGTTAACAAGGACTTATGCTTCTTTTTGCTTTACCATCCTAGCATGCAGCTTCCATCCTAATGGTCATCTCATGGTCTAATATGGCTTCTAGAGCTTAATTCATCTCATCTGCATTTCAGATAGCAGACAGAAGGAATGAAAGATGATTGGGGGAGGGAGAGGAGCACAGAAGGATGCTTCCTAGTTAACTCTTTAAAGGGCCTTCTTGGAAGTCCAAGACAATACTTCCAACACTTCGTTTATGTTCTCTTGGCCAGAACTTAGTCAGTTAGCCATATCCAGCTTTAAGGGAGACTTGGAGATGTAGTTTTGTGGTTTTTTTGTTTAACTTAAAAAATATTTTGATATGTAATTTGCAAACAGTGAAATGCACAGATCGTAAGTATACAGTTTGATAAGTTCTGACAAATGCATACACCCATGTAACCCACATCCCTCTGAAAATATAGAGCATTTCATCACCCCTAGAAATTCCCTCCTGCTGAGGGGCCTTTTTTTTTTTTTTAAACAATACAAATGAGAGATAATGAAGGCTTCTTATCCTGAGGTGGGAGGGTTGTAGCTATGGAAATAGAAGGGAGGAGCTGGAGAGACTGTGGAAGGAGAATCCAGAGTAGACCCGTTGGATGTGGGAGATGAAAGAATGAATGCCGGTAGCAGAGCCACTAACAGAAACAGCAGATAGGGAGGAAGTCCGGGTTGTTACAGATGGATTGGAAGAATGAGTGCAGTTAAGACTGTTGGCCGGGCGCATTGGCTCACGCCTGTAATCCCAGCACTTTGGGAGGCTGAGGCGGCCACATCATGAGGTCAGGAGTTTGAGAGCAGTCTGGCCAACATGGCAAAACCCCATGTACTAAAAATACAAAAATTAGCCAGGCGTGGTGGTGGGTGCCTATAATCCCAGCTACTTGGGAGGCTGAGAAAGGAGAATCGCTTGAACCCGGGAGGTGGAGGTTGCAGTGAGCCAAGATCATGCCATTGCACTCCAGCCTGGGCGACAGGAGTGAAACTCTGTCTCAAAACAACAACAACAACAACAAACTGTTTTAAAAAGTGGGCTGGGCATGGTGGCTCACACCTGCAATCCCAGCACTTTGGAAGGCCGAGGCGGGTAGATCACCTGAGGTTGGGAATTTGAGACCAGCCTGACCGACGTGGAGAAACCCTGTCTTTACTAAAAATACAAAATTAGCCAGGCGTGGTGGCGCATGCCTGTAATCCCAGCTGCTTGGGAGGCTGAGGCAGGAGAATTGCTTGAACCCGGGAGTTAGAGGTGGTGGTGAGCCGAGATCGCACCATTGCACTCCAGCCTGGGCAGCAAGAGCAAAACTTCTCCTCCTAAAAAAAAAAGTGAAGTCTGGCCAGGCGTGGTGGCTCACGCCTGTAATCCCAGCCCTTTGAGAGACCGAGGCAGGCGGATCACCAAGATCAGGAGTTTGAGACCAGCCTGGCCAACATGGTGAAACCCTTATCTACTAAAAATACAAAAATTAGCCAGGCATGGTGGCGGGCGCCTGTGATCCCAGCTACTTGGGAGGCTGAGGCAGGAGAATCGCTTGAACCTGGGAGGCGGTGGTTGCAGTGAGTGGAAATCGCTCCACTGCACTCCAGCCTGGGCCACAGAGCGAGACTCCGTCTCAAAAAAAAAAAAAAAAATGTGAAGTCGGCTGGGCACAGTGGCTCACACCTGTAATCTCAGCACTTTGGGAGGCCGAGGTGGGCGGATCACGAGGTCAGGAGATCGAGACCATCCTGGCTAACATGGTGAAACCCCCTCTCGATAAAAATACCAGATTAGCCGGGCGTGGTGGTGGGCGCCTATAGTCCCAGCTACTCGGGAGACTGAGGCAGGAGAATGGCATGAACCCAGGAGGCGGAGCTTGCAGTGAGCCGAGATCGTGCCACTGCACTCCAGCCTCAGGGACAGAGCGAGACTCTGTCTCAAAAAAAAAAAAAAAGTGACGTCTTTACACAAACATAAAGGGGTTATGTGTGCTGTCCTTTGAGAAGTTTGTTGATGAAAGGAGAAAGGAAGTAGTAGCACCAGAGGAAAAGGTCAGGGGTTTACCCTGTTCTTACAGGAAAACAGCGCCTTGCTCTTTTCAGCTAGCTTTTCAAAGGATAGGGATAGGACAGCTCCCTGCCCTCTTTCGGATATATGGATCTATAACCTCCAGAAATTCAGGCTGAAGTAGTTGGAGGTCGGAGAGGAATGAGACAACTGCCTGGGTGGGGTGGGCCAGCCAGACACTGCCAGGATAGCCACAAGGAGACATAACTTAGAGGAAAGAGCAGACAGCAACCACGTTGGACTCAGGCAGTCCTAGGTTTGAATCCTGTCTGTATCACCACCTAGCCTGATGACCTTGGGCACATCCTGAGCACCCTGTGCCTTATCTGTAAAATGGAAACAATTATGCTGACCTTTTAGGTTGGTTTTGAGGATTAGAGACTAGCTCCTGACACACAGTAGGTAATCGTAAATGGGTGCTATTATTTGGCCCAACCCACATTATAGGACAGAACGTCTAATGAACGGGTCAGAACCTGCGCCCTCCGGATCTTGGAGGGTACAGAGGGCGCCCCTCGGCCTCCTCCCTTTCGGAGGTGGGGACAAGGTGGAGGAAGGGCTGCAGGAGGAGGAGCTCTAGCATCGCGACCCGCCCCGTCCCGTCCAGTCTGGCCTGGGCGCTGCGGGAACGCTGTCCTAGCCGCTGCCACCCGAACAACCTGTCCTGGTGCCCCGGCTCCCTGCCCCGCGCCTAGTCATGGCCCTGCGCCCCTCACTCCTCCCGCTCCATCTGCTGCTGCTGCTGCTGCTGCTCAGTGCGGCGGTGTGCCAGGCTGAGGCTGGGTTCGAAACTGAAAGTCCCGTCCGGACCCTCCAAGTGGAGACCCTGGTGAGGAGATAGTCCCAAACCTCAGCACCCGTGGGCCGAGCCTTGTGGGGTAACACAGGGATCTCAACGAATCTGGGAGCCGGGAAGGAAGTGCGGGAACTGAGTTGGGGGTGGTGCTGGGTCTAAGAGCGAGAACGGGATCTTTGGAAGAGCATCCGTGACCCCTGTAGTCCGATCGTAGGTGGAGCCCCTCGAACCATGTGCCGAGCCAGCTGCTTTTGGAGACACGCTCCACATACACTACACGGTGAGGGGTCTCGGGGGCCGGGGCGGGGCCTGGGAGGGGGTGGCGCCCTGCTGAAACACGTCAGCTTTGGCTTGGACACGTGGCAAGCGGTTCGGGAGAAGAAACTCGGGGCTCTGGGGTTGTCGAGCACATGGCGAGGGGAGAGGCGTTGCTCTTCCGTGCCTCTTTTTCCTCCTTGCTTTTCTGCCAGTTCCTACCTGGCACGGAGAAGTGCAGGGTGGAGAGATCTCCGAGAAGCGCCAGCCCTCTGGGGCTTCCTGTTCCTTACAGCGGTAAGGGGAAGGCTAGGCTGCCGCTGTAAGGGGGCTGCCGCCGCCCAGCGGTCCAGGTGTGTGTTGCGCGCCTGCTGGGAGGGAGAGGGTGCTAGGTGTATGCTCTTGATGCTCTCTCCCTCCAGGGAAGCTTGGTAGATGGACGTATTATTGACACCTCCCTGACCAGAGACCCTCTGGTTATAGAACTTGGCCAAAAGCAGGTGATTCCAGGTATGTGACCTGTGCCTCCCATTCTACCTCTTCACAACCTAAGCCCTTTCTTAGCCTCTTCAGCTCCAAAGCTGCCCTGGAAATTCCCCCCTGAAATGAGTAAGACCCTAGGGCTCTACCAGTTCCCTTCTGAGGTTCAAACCTCACTTCTAATACTCCACTTGTCCCAATTGGAAGCCAGAGATTTAAGAATTGGGGGCAAGGCCTATTGAGGATGGAGGAGGAAGACTTTGGTGTTCATGTCATGGGATTTGGGGAAGGTGGATAGCTTCCAGTTCAGTTGTGTCTTCTTCCTCAAGGTCTGGAGCAGAGTCTTCTAGACATGTGTGTGGGGTGAGTATCTGGGCAGGGGTGGGCCTGGGTACCCTCTTTGCATGGGAAGAGGTTTTCTCTGCCATCCTCGCTCCTTAAGAAGCAGGAGAATGTGGAATAAAGGACCCTGCTTCCCACTGGACAGGTCCAGGTCAGTGGGAACCCTGAGGGCATCCAAAGCCTCTGTGCTTCTTGCGCTGTTGCTTTTGTTGGGGAGTTGAGGCACATGGGGAGATGGACACCTTTGCTGGCCAGCCTGTTTGGTGTTCAGGTGGAAAAGTTCGTGTTTTGGGTGTGAAGATCCAGAGGGTTTTGCTGGAGGAGCTTCAGCTGGACTGAGGCTGCTGGCCTACCTCTCCTGCCTCTGGCTGTGACTGACATTCCTTCCCTCAGAGAGAAGCGAAGGGCAATCATTCCTTCTCACTTGGCCTATGGAAAACGAGGATTTCCACCATCTGTCCCAGGTAATCTGACCAGGCCTGTCTCTCAGGCCATCGAAATACCCAGTCCCTAAGAGCTGTAAGGAGCTATATACTTTGTCTAATGCTTGAGAAGGTCCAGACCAAGTTTGTTTAGACAGACAGGAGTGGCTGGCGCCTCCATCTCCAGGGCCACTTTTTTCTTCCTCATATCACCAACAGGGACTAAAGACAAATAACCTGATGAGGCCACCTGGTGTGACCTCTAGCAGCCAGTAACTTGTTAGGGAAGAGAACTGCCTGTGCCACCACCTTTCCCAGAACACTGGGCTTCTTTCCTGCCCTTTTCTACAACTCTACGCTGTGTCAGCTGTACAGCCGCCCCCCACCCCACCCCGCTTCCTTTCAGCCTCCATCAGGGAAGAGATAGTAAAAATAATCACAGTCAAGTAATTCAAAACAAAACAAAAAGCAACTGTTAAAGCCAAGTCTACCCCATAACTTTAAAAGCCATCATAGGTCACTGCCGATGTCTACTTTTGAAGGGTTGAGATGGACAGATTTCCCAAAATGCGTATCTTTTGCTTTCAGTTCTAACAAATGTTCTATTAGCTAAAATGTGTTGTACTCCACAGAGTGTTGGGCTCGTAATTCTTCTTCTTCTTCTTCTTTTTTTTTTCTTTGAGACGGAGTTTCATTCTTGTTGCCCAGGCTGGAGTGCAGTGGCGCAATCTTCACTTGCCACAACCTCTGCCTCCTAGGTTCAAGCGATTCTCCTGCCTCAGCCTCCCGAGTAGCTGGGATTATAGGCGTGTGCCACCACGCCCAGCTAATTTTGTATTTTTAGTAGAGATGGGGCTTCTCCATGTTGGTCAGACTGGTCTCAAACTCTCAACCTCAGGTGATCTGCCTGCCTTGGCTTCCCAAAGTGCTGGGATTACAGGCATGAGCCACCGTGCCTGGCTGGGCTCATAATTTTTATTCTAGTTCCAGCTTAGAGGAAGGCCTGGAAGGAGGGTAGGGCAACCAAGGAGAAACTCTTTTACCCAAAGCCCTATACCTCCCCATTCCCAGTGCTGCTTATTTGCGCCTCTTCCGCCCACTCATTTCTGTTCCACCTGCCCCTTTACTTCTTAAGCAGCATCCTCATCCTTCTTCCTCTTCAGTTCTTATGCTGAAACTCCTGTTATCTCATAATCACGTTGAATGTGCTCATTGGTTGGTTGATTTTTTAAAGTCTAGTTTAAATCCATTTAATTTCAGACCTGCAAAGACTCTATCCATGTGGTTATTTGGAAATACGATAAGTTAGTAGTTAGTATAGAGGGTTCTCCCACTTACAAATAGAGAAGAGTCTTACATTTCATATTCACAGAAAGTTTTCCGGCATTCAAAGACTTGTCACTGGACCCAAGCCACATGTGTAGTTGGGGTCAACATGACTATCACTGAACTCTGCTCATAATCCTCCTCTACTCTTGTCTAAAGGAATTCAACCCCACATTTAAATCTTGTCAGCTTCATAGTTGTTGGCTTTGCTGTGGCCTACCCTCCCTATTTTCATTCAGATTCTGAGCCCTGGATAAAATGCACTGAGAGTCTAACCCTCTCCACCCCTCTGCCTCTCTAGCGGATGCAGTGGTGCAGTATGACGTGGAGCTGATTGCACTAATCCGAGCCAACTACTGGCTAAAGCTGGTGAAGGGCATTTTGCCTCTGGTAGGGATGGCCATTGTGCCAGCCCTCCTGGGCCTCATTGGGTATCACCTATACAGAAAGGCCAACAGACCCAAAGTCTCCAAAAAGAAGCTCAAGGAAGAGAAACGAAACAAGAGCAAAAAGAAATAATAAATAATAAATTCTAAAAAACTTCTTTGCATTCTTCATCTGATACTTTCTGAGACTGCCTTTGAAAGTGGGAATGAGGTAAAGGGCTGAGGAAAAAAGCATTCTTAGTTGCATCTTGCCTGGCATGGGGGTGGTTGTAGGCCCTGGATCACCTCTTCCCCTGGCCTCTTCTTGCTGTCCTAACTGACTTTAAGGATCTGGTCTTGAGTCTTCCCATAGGATCTCTAAGTCCTTAAGGTATGGGTTTTGGCTCTCATGGCGCCCTGATTCTGAGGAGGGATGCTTAATTGAGCAGTGAGCCTCCTGGTAGTTGCCTAGCTGTTCTCTCTATTCCCTGGGACCACAGTGTTCCTAGTGTCCTCAAAGAGGACTGCTCTGTCCAATATGGAAAAGATACAAGGAGCTCATAAACTCCATGGAAATTTTTAATAGCAACATCCGTACATCTCTCAAAAAAAAAAAAAAAATCTCTAGGAGTTGAAAGATTTTTTTCCTTAGATCACAGGTTGTAGAAGATCACGTGGGCTGCTTCAATTATATTTTAAGTGGTTGGATGTTGTTTATCACCTGGATGGGCTATAGGTATGGACAAGGGCTGGGGTAAATTGCTTTGATAGTTGACTATAAAGAGTGGGTTGAGCTGGCTCAGCACTTCGTCACTCACTGAGATGCCATCCAAGTACTGCTTCAGCATCTCCCGCAGCTTTCCATTGATATCTAGCAGCTGGGCTCGTCTGTGTTGGAGGCTTAGTTGCTCCAGTTTCACTTTGTTGTACCTTTTCCAGAAATTCTCCATTCCTGTGTAGTCCACCATCACCTGGGAGTGGAGTTGTAGGGAGAAGGTGTGCAGCGAGACCCACTAGCAAATGCTGCCCAATGCCCCACCATCCCCCAGCCTTTACCTTGGCGAGCTCCTCAGTAAGCTCTTCTAGATTATTCTCCTCAATCCCCTCCTGCTCCTTAGGAGTCAATACTGATGAATAAAAAGGCAGCACCTTTTCTTCCTCAGTTTCAAATTTCCTACATATTTCAGCAAGTTTAAGGATCTTTTCACCCTATTTGAAGCAGGAAGAGAGTTCATATTAGGAAAGGGAGTGGAGAGGGAAGCTAGTGGAGGTGGTTCCCCTGTTTGAACCCAGGGAGGCTACTCATCCAAGTGGGAAACAATAGCAATAAATACATATAGCAAATAGAGGTTACCATGTAACACACACTATTCCAAGTATTTTCTATTCTTATTGTAAAATTAATTCATAGCCTGGGAAACATAGGAAGATCCCATCTCTACAAAAAAATTTGCAAAAGCCAGGTGTGGTGGCACATGCCTACAGTCTCAGCGACTGGGGAGGCTGAGGTGGAAGAATCACTTGAGCCCAGGAGGTAGAGGCTGGAGTGAGACGAAATGGTGCCACCACACTCTGGCCTGGGCAACTGAGTGAGACCCTGTCTCAAAAAAAAAAAAAAAAAAAAAAATCATTCATGCATTATTATTCATTTCTTTTAAAAAAAAAAAAACTCACTTTTTTTTTTTCTGACGAGGTTGTCACTATTGGTGCCCGAGGCTGGAGTGCACGTTGGTGGCAGTCTTGGCCACCCTGCACACCCCTTCTGGGCTCGCGGCCTGGGCGCGCCGTTCAAACAGTCTGCCAGCGACTTCTCCGGCCTCAAGGCTTCCCCGGAGTAGCTGGGATCAGCAGGCAGCACCCACCATGCCCATCGCTGAAGTGCTTATTTAGTAGAGATGAATTTCTCCAGGTTGTTGGGTCAGCTTGGTCCTCGAGCACCCCAACCTCGGTGACTCGCCATGCCTTGGTCCTCCCAAAGTGTGGATTTACAGGGGAGCCACCGTGCCCAGCCAAAAAAAACTCATTCATTATTAATTTCATCTTGTCTTTTCCCTGTCCTTTTTGTTTTTTTGGAAACAGGTCTTACTCTGTCACCCAGGCTGGGGTGCCAGTGTGCAGCATAGCCTCACTGCCAGCCTCGATGTCCCAGCTCAATGGATCCTCCCATCCTCAGCTTCCAAGTATCTGGGCTCACAGCATGTGCCACTATGCCCGAGCTTTTTTTTTTTTTTTTGGTAGAGATGGGCTCTCCCTATGTTTGCCAGGGTGGTCTCAAACTCTCAGGCTCAAGCTATCCTCCCACCTTGGCCTCCCAAAGTGCTGGGATTACAGGCATGAGCCACCACGTCTGGCCAATTCATTTCAATTTAAAATGTAGACCAGACGCGGTGGCTTACACCTGTAATCCCAGCACTTGGGAAGCCAAAGTGGGTGGATCGCCGAGGTCAGGAGTTGGAGAATATCCTGGCCAACATGGTGAAATCCTGTCTCCACTGAAAATACAAAAATTAGCCGGGTGTGGTGGTGCGCACCTGTATCCCACCTACTCAGGAGGCTGAGGCAGGAGAATTGCTTGAACCGGGGAGGTGAAGGTTGCAGCGAGCCAAGATCATGCTACTTCACTCCAGCCAGGGCAACAGAGTAAGACTTCATCTCAAAAATAATAATAATAATTAATTAATTAAAATGTAAGAGGGGGCTCGATGCAGTGGCTCATGCCTGTAATCTCAGCGTTTTAGAAAGCCAGGGTGGGCCATGCGCGGTGGCTCAAGCCTGTAATCCCAGCACTTTGGGAGGCTGAGACGGGCAGATCACGAGGTCAAGAGATCGAGACCATCCTGGCTAACACGGTGAAACCCCGTCTCTACCAAAAAATACAAAACACTAGCTGGGCGAGGTGGCGGGCGCCTGTACTCCCAGCTACTCGGGAGGCTGAGGCAGGAGAATGGCATAAACCCGGGAGGCAGAGCTTGCAGTGAGCTGAGATCCGGCCACTGCACTCCAGCCTGGTCGACAGAGTGAGACTCCATCTCAAAAAAAAAAAAAAAAAAAGAAAGCCAGGGTGGGAAGATTGTCTGAGGCCAGGAGTTTGAGCCAGCCTGGGCAACATGGCGAAACCCCCTCTCTACAAAAAATACGAAAGTTAGCCATGCATTGGGGAGGCTGAGGCAGGAGGAACGCTTGAGCCCAGGAGGCAGAGGTTGCAGTGAGCCAAGATGGCGCCACTGCACTCCAGCCTGGGAGACAGAGTGAGACCCTGTCTTCACCAGAAAGAAAGAAAAAAAAAAAAGTAGGAAGGGGCTCACCAGGGTGGCTCACACCTCTAATCTCAGCACTTTGGGAGGCCAAGGCAAGAGGACTGCTTGAGGCCAGGAGTTCATAACCATCCTGGGCAACACAGTGAGACCCCATCTGTAGAAATACATAAATAAATAAATTAATTTAATGTAAGAGGGGAGGAAACATGGAATAAAAAAGGTATTCCAAGTGTCCACTCAGCCAGGAAGCAGGAAGAAGCCTTCGCTATCCTTTCCAAATCCCTTTAACCTTGCAGGGAGCCAGGTTCCTTGACTTTGTTCTGACTGTCCTCTCCCTTATGTTACCTTATCAACAATCTTTCTCAGGGCCTTGAGGGTGGCATTACTTTCCAAGGTGAGTTTGACTAAGTTCTTCTGGGATGCTGCCCGGGCCTGAGTCCTTTGGGCCTTAAGTTTTCGCAGTTGTACAAGGACCAATTCCTTGTCGTTACGGATATACCGGTTCTCATCTTCACTCTCACGGCTGTGTATCATGATCTTGCCTTTTGAAATAGTTATGGCATCCTAGAGGAACAGATTAGGGGAAACACTTGGCCAAATGAGGGTCTTCAGTGAGACAGGTAAAAGGGCTGCCTGGGGACTGAAATCAGAGCATATCATCTTTTCCCAACCAATCAGTGATGAGGCCCAGGGGAAACGAGGGGAAGCAGAAGAGGGGATAATAGAGCAGTTAGAGCAGTGAGTATTTCACTGTGAGTAACTCACAGGTTAGTGAGTATACACTAACCTGTAGTTTCTGTATTTTTTTCATCTGTACTTCAATCTCTTTGGAGCTCTTCTCATCCTTCACCTGCAGGGTCTCAAAGGCAGCCTTTCGATCCTCTGTGGCATCAGTGTAATTCTTGAGTACATCCTGGAACTTTCTCCACAGATCTTCTACTATGTTCTCCAGGTGCAGCCTTAGAAAGTGCTTCTCTTCTAAATTCTAGCAAGTGACCCCAAAATAGCAAATGTTTAGAATTACCTCATTAGTGCCCTTTCACTTCCACCAGCAACCTCACCCTCTTGAACTGTTTGTAGCATAGTTTAGTACAGAGGTCTTCAATGAAAATGCCTACATAAGACCAGGTAGATGATATAAATAAGTTTTGTGGGCCGGGTGGGGCCTGTGGTGAACTGGAGAGGAAATGCTGCATTTGGGAGGAGGAGGGGCAGCCACTGAGCTCCACATGAGCCTTGCCATTTGGAAATGTGGCCCAGTGTTGCCAGATCTTTAAATTTTTCAAGGGAAGCTGAAAATTTGGATGTTTTTATGAAATCTCCAATTTTCAAGTGTAAGATGCTTATTCAAAAAATTTTATAAAACACTATGGGATAAATAAAAACAAAGAACTCCATACCCAAACCTAGGTCTGTGGGCTGGCTAAGTTTGCAACCTCGAGGACAACGGAAAGCACTTTGGATCAAGGGGCAGGAGACCTAGATTCTCCTGGTTCTACCACAGACCAGCAGCATGACTTTGGCAGGTCATTTTACCTATTGGGCCTTACTTTCTTCATCTGAAAATCACAGGGGTGAAGCCAGATGATCTCCTTGGTGCTTTTTAGCTCTAAAATGCATTCCCTTGACATTTTAGAATGGTCCTCCCTCCCAACCAATTTTCACAAAATTACAAAAAGCAGTAGGGATACCTACAGTGGCAATAGATATTTTATTCACTGTGTTGGCTAAAGGGGTCTCTTCTACCTCTAGTAGCCTTGAGCATTTTAATTTTTTAATTTTTTAATTTTTTTGAGAGAGGGTCTCGCTCTGTCACCCAGGCTGGAGGGCAGTGTTGCTATCACAGTTCACTACAGCCTCCAGTTTCTGGGCTCAAGCGATCATCCTACCTCAGCCTCCTAAGTAGCTTGGACCATAGGCACACACTACCATGCCTGGCTCTTTTTTTTTTTTTTTTTTTGGTTGGGGGGTAGAGATGGCAGTCTCTCTGTGTTGCCCAGGCTGGTCTTGAACTCCTAGTCTCAAGTGATCCTCCTGCCTTGGCCTACCAAGGTGCTGGGATTACAGGTGTAAGCCACTGTTCCCAGCCTCCTTGAGCATTTTTCTATCACCTCCCTCCACTTCTTGTCTATCTACTCTCCCTCCGTACCATGTTTTTGAGATCATTCCACATGCTCTGGAACTCCAGCTTGCTTTCATACTCAGAATCTATATAGTTCTGCTCCATGGCCATGAAGATATCTTGTAGATAGTGAATCTCTTTCTCATGTTGGTCAATAATTGTCTTCCTGTAGGAGACAAGACACTGTCCCTGCTCTGAGGGATACAGGATATTGACCAATAATGACAATTCAAAGCAGTATGTAATAAATCTATGTGAATGGTACAAACTCTCAGGTACTGATGGAGAACAGAGAGAGGGAAGGCTCTATTCTTTTTAGGACTAGAAAGAATGAATACAGTTATTTTATTTTGATTTCTGAATGGGTAATACATTCATGTACTTTCAAAAAAGTACAAAAGGTTACAGTGAGAAGTCTCTCTCCCATCGCTGTTCCCTGCCAAATGGGTAGGATTTTGATAGTTGAAAATGGGTAGTTGGTAAAAGGAATTTGAGGAGTTAAACTTAAAAAGAAGAAAAAAAAAGAGTTATTTAAAAAAAGTAAAACAATAACTTAGCCAGGTGAGGTGGCACGCACCTGTAGTCCCAGCTACTGGGGACACTGAGGCAGGAAAATTGCTTGAACCCAGGAGGCAGAGGTTGCAGTGAGCTGAGATCGCACCACTGCACTCCAGCCTGGACGGCAGAGCGCGACTCTGTCTTGAAAAAACAAAACACAATTTAAAAAAATAATAAAGAAAAAAATAGTGAAAGAGAAAAGAAGAAAGTGGGTGGTGAAGGCACACAGATAGGGGGCCTGACGTAAGTAAAGGGAAGCTAGAGCTGCAAACTTAAGCCAGAGTTTGTTTAAAAGGAACCAAGATATTCTCTGCTGGGGGTCCTGTGATAATCAATGTGGGATGCTCCAAGATACTAGCCACTTGCTTACAGGCAACTCCTTGACACAGACTCTGGACACTCCCCTGGATTCAATTCCCCATCTTCTCTTAGGCCCCCATACCTTTCTGTCTCAAACTCCTTGGTTAGGGCTTCCAGCTCCATGTTGTAACTTTCCTCCAGGAGACTGAGCCGGTGCCTCTGCAGGGCCAAAAGCTGGTCAACATTGTGCAAGTGGCTGCGCAGGGCACGGGCGTACTGCTCCTCAGCTTCGGACAGATCTTTAGCTAAAGACTAGGCCAGAAAGAGAGAGAGTTACCATTCCAGCTGAATGGCATCTGTGTGAGAAAATAAAAATATATTCAGCTTGCAGTTTTTTATTTGTTCCTACTGCCAATTTGGCTTTAAGAATGCTAGTTGTCCTCCTCACTCCTGTAAAGCAAGAGTGATGGCAAGGGCTGAGCAAGGTGGCTCGCATCTGTAATCCCAGCATTTTGGGCAGCCAAGGTGGGAGGATTACATGAGCCTGGGAGCTCAAGACTAGCCTGGGCAACACAGTGAGACCCCCCAATCTCTACAAAAAACAAAAAAACATAAAAATTACCCAGGCTGTAGTCCCAGCTACTCACAAGACTTGGGCAGGAGGATTGCTTAAGCCCAAGAGTTCAAAGTTGCAGTGAGCTGAGATCATGCCACTGCACTCCAGCCTGGGTGACAGAACAAGACCCTGTCTCAAAAAAAAAAAAAGGCTGGGCACAGTGGCTCACACCTGTAATCCCAGCACTTTGGGAGGCCAAAATCCCAGCACTTTGGGAGGCAGGCAGATCACGAGGTCTGGAGTTCAAGACCAGCCTGACCAACATGGCGAAGCCCTGTCTCTAGTAAAAATACAAAAATGCCGGGCGCGGTGGCACAAGCCTATAATCCCAGCACTTTGGGAGGCCAAGGTGGGTGGATCATGAGGTCAACAGTTCGAGACCAGCCTGGCCAACATAGTGAAACCCCGTCTCTACTAAAAATACAAAAAAAAAAAAAAAAAAATCCGACCATGGTGGCAGGTGCCTGTAATCCCAGCTACTTGGGAGGCTGAGGCAAGGAGAATTGCTTAAACCTAGGAGGCAGAGGTTGCAGTGAGCTGAGATTGCGCCACTGCACTCCAGCCTGGGTGACAGTGCGAGACTCTGTCTCAAAATAAATAAATAAATAATAAAAATACAAATATTAGTTGGGTGTGGTGGCGCGTGCCTGTAATCCCAGCTACTCGGGAGGCTGAGGCGGGAAAATTCCTTGAACCCAGGAGGCCGAGGTTGCAGTGAGCTGAGATAATGCCACTGCACTCCAGCCTGGGCAAGAGAGCGAGACTCCGTCTCAAAGAAGAAGAAGAAAAAAAAAAGTGATAGCAAGGAGCCCCATGAAGCCAGTCAGTGTCCTGTGGATGACTAACATTTACAGTGATGTAGCCACCCCTGAAAGGGATCAGGGATTCTTGGAGGAATGAGTGCTTTGAGGTCTGATGCAGAAAATGAGTTGAACCTGGGGTATCTTTTTTTTTTTTTTGAGATGGAGTCTCGCTCTGTCACCAGTCCGGAATGTGGTGGTGTGATCTTGGCTCATTGTAACCTCAGCCTCCTGGGTTCAAACGATTCCTACCTCAGCTTCCTGAGTAGCTGGGACTACAGGCACCTGCCACCACACCCAGCTAATTTTTTACATTTTTAGTAGAGACAGGGTTTCACCATGTTGGCCAGGATGGTCTTGATCTTATGATCCGCCTGACTCGGCCTCCCAAAGTGCTGGGATTACAGGCATGAGCCACCGCTCCAGGCAGAACCTGGAGTATCTTATCATAAAAGATAGCAAAGAAGCTATCAAAGACCAAAAGGGTCATGTCAGAAGGACCCAGGAACCAACATGAAGTGCCTCACTGAGGCAGATTTTCCAAAGAAAATCACAGCAATATCTCCCATCCTACGATTCTCTGCTGTGTGACCTTGCCACTCCCCTATCAAAAGGTGGTGTCTCTTCTTCCAGCTCCTTGAATTTGGGCAGACCCTATGACTACATGGGTCAATAGAATACGGTGGAAGTGACACTATGCCAGTCCCAGGCATAACCCTTGGCTGGCCTGGCAGTTTCTGCTTCCCGCCCCTTAGAATGCTTGTTCTTAGGATGATCCCTCCAGGAGCCTAACAGTCATTCTGTGAGAAGCCAAGTGCAATGAATTTTTATTTATTTATTTATTTTTATTTTTTATTTTTTATTTATTTATTTTTTTGAGATGGAGTCTTACTCTGTCACCCAGGCTGGAGTGCAGTGGCGCCATCTCGGCTCATTGCAACCTCCGCCCCCCAGGTTCAAGTGATTCTCCTGCCTTAGCCTCCCGGAGTAGCTGGAATTACACACCACACCCAGCTAACTTTTTGTATTTTTTAGTAGAGATGGGGATTCACCATGTTAGTCAGGCTGGTCTTGAACTCCTGACCTCGTGATCCACCCGCCTCGGCCTCCTAAAGTGCTGGGATTACAGGTGTGAACCACCGCGCCCAGCCAGAAGGTTTTTTTTGTTTCGTTTTTTAATCAGTTATCACTGGAGGATACCAGACAACCAATTTTTTTAAAAACTGTTAAATAAAGGCAAGAGAAATAATCAAGCATTTATCTTGCTTTTCCTGTATAAACTATAGCTTTGAGTAATTGAATAGAAAATGAGGGGAAGTATCTCTTTTCAGAAATACTCAAGCTAATGAACAAAAAATGAACGATACTATTAGAAAATCAGGCCAGACACAGTGGCTCACACCTGTAATCCCAGATCTTTGGGAGGCTGAGGCAGGAAGATCATTTGAAGCAAGGGTTTGAGGCCGAGAGTCTGAGACTAACCTGGGCAACAGAGTGAGGGCCCTATCTCTATTTCTTTCTCTCTCTCTCTCTCTCTCTCTTTTTTTTTTTCCTTACTGGATCACTACATCTAGACCCCATCTCTATTTCTTTTTGTTTTGAGTCAGGGTCTTGTTCTGTCATCCAGGCTGGGTCAGGTGTCATGATCACAGCTTATTGCAGCCTCAATCTCCCAGGCTCAATTGATCCTCCACCTCAGCCCCCTGAGTAGCTGGGACTACAGGCACACACTACCATGCCCAGCTAATTTTTAAGTTTTTTTGTAAACAGGGTTTCACCATGTTGCCGAGGCTGGTCTCGAACTCCAGGGCTCAAAGGATCTGCCTGCCTCAGCCTCCCAAAGTGTTGGGATTACAAGCATGAACCACTGTGCCTGGCCCCATCCCCATTTCTAAAATACAATTTAAACATTTTAAAAATAAGCATTTTTGCATCTCCCAATGATTTAATGGATCAACAGCTGCTAACATCACAAAAAGAGAGCTAGACAATATGTGTCTCTTGATACAACATCGCTAAGCATCTAAATCCAATTACCCAAATAAAAATACAGAGGAAAAAGTAATGTGGTAAACTGCAATACAGAATACTATGCAGTTGTAAAATAAGAAGCTCTTTACAGGAAAATATGGAACAATCTCATATATATATGAGCACAATCTTGGCTCACTGCAACCTCTGCCTCCCAGGCTCATGTGATCCTCCTACCTCAGCCTCCCCAGTAGCTGGGACTATAGGCACATGCCACCACACCCAGCTAATTTTTATATTCTTAGTAGAGACAGGGTTTTACCATGTTGCCCAGGCCGATCTCGAACTCCTAGGCTCAAGCAATCCACCTGCATTGGCCTCCTAAAGTGCTGGGATTTCAGGCATGAGCCACCGTGCCCAGCCTCCAAGATACATTATTAAGTGAAAAAACCAAGGGGCAGAATAGTATATAATATGATCATTTATGTAAAGAAAAAAGATTTCCTTATGAAACTAGAATTATTGGAAGAAACACTGGGTACCTGGAAGGCACTGGTGGGGAGGAACTTTTCTCTATATAACCTTTTTTTCTTTTGGATTTTGAATAACGTGAATGTACTACCTTCAAAAAAGTAAAACAAGATTAAACAGAAAAGCATTTATGGAATTGCCCACATGATCCAGGCACCTTGAGTCCACTCACTGTAAACTACCATGACTTCTACACAGAGATAGCTTTTACCTTATATGTTTACAATGATAAAAGGATCCTATGAAATAGGTTCTAATGATGGAAGACTATTCACTCACTCAGCAAATGTTTACCTAACCCCTGCTATGTACCAGCACTGTGCAGGATGTTGAGGATTCAGAGATAAAAAGATATGCCCACTGCTCCCAAAGGAGCTTACAGTCTAGTAGGAAGAGTTACATAAATAGAAAATCACAACATAACATGGAAATTGCTATAAGGTTGATGATTTATTGAGTGACAATGAATATAAAGGATTGAGTGCCTACATATGACTAAGCACTGGGAAAGCCTTCACCAAAGAGATGTCATTTGTATCAACTCTTGAAGGAGGAATGAAAGTTTACCAGGATGGTCGGGCTCACTCCTGTAATCCCAGCACTTTGGGAGGCTGAGGCAGGTGGGTCACCTGAGGTCACGAGTTCCAGACCAACCTGACCAACATGGTGAAGCCCCATCTCTACTAAAAATACAAAAATCAGCCAGCATGGTGGCGCACACCTGTAGTCCCAGCCACTCAGGAGGCTGAGGCAGGAGGATCACTTGAACCTGGGAGGTGGAGATTGCAGTGAGCAGAGATTGCACCACTGCACTCCACCCTGGGCAACAGAATGAGACTCCATCTCAGAAAAAAAAAAAAAAAAAAAAAAGGGCAGAGTGCAGTGTGGTGTATAATCCCAGCATTTTGGGAGGCTGAAGTGGGCAGATCACTTGAGGTCAGGAGTTCAAGACCAGCTGGCCAACACGATGAAACCCTGTATCTACTAAAAATACAAAAATTAGCCGGGCGTAGAGGCGTGCACCTGTAATCCCAGCTACTTGGGAGGCTGAGGCAGGAGAATCGCTTGAACCCGGGAGGTGAAGGTCACAGTGAGCCAAGATCGCTCCACTGCACTCCAGCCTGGGAGACAGAATGAGACTCCGTCTCAAAAAAAATAAATAAATAAAAATAAAAATAATAAGAAAGTTTGTCAGGACGACTGGAGAAGAAATGGAGATGAGAATTCCAGACACAGGGAATAGCATATGCAAAGGCACAGGTAAGAAACAAGGCTGGCTGTATGAAAAGTACAGGTGGGCAGAGGCTGGGTGTGGTGGCTCACGCCTGTAATACTCAGCCTGGGCAACAAGAGCGAAACTCCATCTCAAAAAAAAAAAAAGTACAGGTAGGAACCAGATCATGAAAGGCTTTGATGTTCTTACTATGGAGTTTGGATTTTTTCCTGTAGATGGGGGAACCACTAAGATTTAAGCAGTGGAGTGACAGGATTAGATTTCTGCTTTAGAAAGATAACCCTAGTACTCATGCCTATAATCCCAGCACTTTGGGAGGCCGAGGTAGTTGGATCACCTGAGGCCAGGAGTTAGAGACCAGCCTGGCCAACATGGCGAAAACCCGTCTCTACTAAAAATGCAGAAATTAGCTGGACACGGTGGCATGCACCTGTAATCCCAGCTACTCAGGAGGCTGAGGCAGGAGAATCACTTGAACCTAGGGGGCAGAGGTTGCAGTGAGCCAAGATTGTGCCACTGCACTCCTGCCTGGGTGACTCTGTCTCAAAATAAAATAAAATTAATAATAATAATAATAATCGTAGTAGTTCTGCAGAGAATCTAGAGGCAGTTGAATGTGAAGGGTGGAAAACAGGAAACAAATAGTTTAGGTTAGAGATGATGCCCAGGTCTCAACTACAGGAGGACAGTGGAAAAGGACAGCAGGGTATAGCTTTGAAAACTACTTTAAAGTAGACAACTTATACAACACTTAGTAACAGAGGTCAGGGACAGATGCAAAATCTAGGATGGACTGGGCCCAGTGGCTCATGCCTGTAATACTAGCACTTTGGGAGGCCAAAGTGGGAGGACTGCTTGAGGCCAGGAGTTCAAGACCAGCATGGGCAACGTAACGAGACTATAGCTCTACAAAAAATGTAAAAATTTGGCCAGGCGCGGTGGCTCAAGCCTGTAATCCCAGCACTTTGGGAGGCCGAGGCGGGTGGATCACGAGGTCAGGAGATCCAGAACGACCATCCTGGCTAACATGGCTGAAACTCCCGTCTCTCTAACAAATACAAAGAAAACTAGCCGGGCGGTGGTGGCGGGCCCTGTAGTCCCAGCTACTCGGAGGCTGAGGCAGAGAGATGGCGTGAACCTGGGAGGCGGAGCTTGCAGTGAGCCGAGATCGCGCCACTGCACTCCATCTGGGTGACACAGCGCGAGACTCCATCTCAAAAAAAAAAAAAAAAAAACAAAAGTAAACCAGTTGTTCTAGCCAAGCTGAGTCCCGATGTGACCTGTCGTCGCCCAGGGCTATAGAGGTGAGGTGGGAGGATCAGCCTGGGCAACACAGTGAGACCTTGTCTCTACTAAAAATTAAAAAATAATTCTAAAATTTAGCCAATTATAAGCTGGGCGCGGTGCCTCACGCCTGTAATCCCAGCACTTTGGGAGGCCAAGGCGGGCAGATCACAAGGTCAAGAGTTCGAGACCAGCCTGACCAATAGAGTGAAACCCCGTCTCTACTAAAAATACAAAAGTTAGCTGGGCGTAGTGGCGTGCGCCTGTAATCTCAGCTACTTGGGAGGCTGGGGCAGGAAAATCACTTGAACCTGGGAGGTGGAAGTTGCAGTGGGCCAAGATGGCACCACTGCATTCCAGCCTGGGCGACAGGGTGAGACTCCATCTCAAAAAAAAAAAAAAAAAAAAAAAAAATTTAGCCAATCCTAGTGAGAGCCTGTAGTTCCAACTGCTCAGGTGGGAGGATCACTTGAGCCCAGGAGCTTGAGTGTAGTGAGCTATGATTGTGCTATTGCACTTCAGCCTGGACAACAGTGAGACTGTCTCAAAAAATAAAATAAAATAAAATAAAATAAAGTCAGGGTAAGATGTAAGATTGTCTAGCCCTAGAAAACTGGTTAAAGGGTGAGATGGCCAGACTCAGAAATCTGGGGAATGCTGAAGTTCAGAGGATGGAGAGAGGAAGATAAACTCACTGGAGTGAATGGTTTATGTCCCAGAGGTAGAAAAAATGACAGAATAGTGTCTTGCAAGCCAAAGGAGAGTTTCAAGACCCAGGGCATGACCAAGAATGTCAGTGCCATAGAGAAGTTAGGTTAGATAAAGACTAAATGATGAAAAGTAGTCACAATTCTGAACCGGTGGCCTTTACTTGAGCAGTTTCCTAGAGAAGGGTAGAAATCAGATGTTGTGGGATGCAGGGTAAAAGGGAAGTGAAGAAGTAGAGATAGTGAGGATCACTAACATTTCCACATTTAATATGTGTAGTCTTACTCAGGAATGACCCTGAAGGTGGTTAATATTAACAGTGTGTGATTTACCTAAGCAAGAACTGTTATCATAAGCTGAGAGGCTGCTGTGTAGGAAGAAGTTAATTGTGTCGGGGTGAACCTGGTCAACTACTCAGCTTCCCTTAACCCATTCATGCCTGAGGTTGCAAATATTTTTTGTGAAAAATCAGACCTTGGTGATGACCTTGAGCAGTACAAGATACATAACTCTCCAAAACTTAGCATTCCAATAATGGAACACTAGGCAATGAACACTGCTGTTCTTATCAAGTGTTTGATAACTTCCAATAAGTGTCTGAAAAAGCCTCTTAAAAATCCATAAGTTATGGGCTGGGCGCAGTGGCTAACGTCTGTAATCCCAGCACTTTGGGAAGCTGAGGTGGGTGGATCACCTAAGGTCAGGAGTTCCAGACCAGCCTGGCCAACATGGTGAAACCCTGTCTCTACTAAAAATATAAAAATTAGCTGGGCTTGGTGGCGGGCGCCTGTAATCCCAGCTATTCAGGAGGTTGAGTCAGGAGAATTGCCTGAACCCAGGAGGCAGAGGTTGCAGTGAGCTGAGACCGGGCCTTTGCACTGCAGCCTGGGCAACAAGAGTGAAACTCCATCTCGAAAAAAGAAAAAAATCCGTAAGGTATAACTGGTGGGGTGTGAACTTCTAATGAATAATGGTTATTGCAAATTTGAGGACTCTTAATATATATCTCTGGAAGCTGCCCAAGGTCTGCTGAGCTTTTTCCCCAGGGGTTAGGCTATGAAAGAGAAATGTGTGTTTTCTAGAGGGGGAATACCATGTTGGCAATGTATATTTTGCTGTTACTGTGGGCTTTGTTTTGTTTACAATTGAAAAGACTCTGGCTGGGCACAGTGGCTCACACCTGTAATCCCAGCACTTTGGGAGGCCAAGGCAGGTGGATCACGAGGTCAGGATATCAAGACCATCCTGGCCAACACGGTGAAACCCCATCTCTACTAAAAATACAAAAATTAGCCAAGCATGGTGGCACACGCCTATAGTTGCAGCTACTCAGGAGGCTGAGGCAGGAGAATCACTTGAACCCAGGAGGTGGAGGCTGCACTGAGCCGAGATCACAGCACTACACTCCAGCCTGGCGACAGAGCAAGACTCCGTCTCAATAAATAAATAAATAAATAAATAAAAAGACTAAGGAGAAGGCAGTAAATGGAGGTAGACTATTAAAAGTAAGAAAAAAGGCCGGGCGCGGTGGCTCAAGCCTGTAATCCCAGCACTTTGGGAGGCCGAGACGGGCGGATCACGAGGTCAGGAGATCGAGACCATCCTGGCTAACATGGTGAAACCCCGTCTCTACTAAAAAATACAAAAAATTAGCCGGGCGAGGCGGCGGGCGCCTGTAGTCCCAGCTAGTCGGGAGGCTGAGGCAGGAGAATGGCGTGAACCCGGGAGGCGGAGCTTGCAGTGAGCTGAGATCCGGCCACTGCACTCCAGCCTGGGCGACAGAGTGAGACTCCGTCTCAAAAAAAAAAAAAAGAAAAGAAAAAAGTAAGAAAAAAGAAGGGGTACAGAAAATCCCTTAGAAGAAAAGATAGGATGGAATCAAGAACTCAAGAACCTCCCAAGAGCATAAGGATGGCTGATTGAATTGCTTAGAAATCCAGAACTGCTCTTACCCATGGAGATCTTCTCAACCTTATCCAGGGCCACTGAAGTTGAATCAAGAGGCCAAACAATTTGGTTGAATGGAGCACTGCAGTGGGAATCAATAAACATAGGCTGGAGTCCTGGCTCTCTCACTGACTAGGTATGTGACCTTGGGCAAGTCAGTTCCCCTCTGGAACTGAGCCTTCTGACATTGAAATGAAGGTGTGGGACTCATTTCAAGTCACTGGGTGATGTCTACTGTGCCTTACAACTCTACTATTGGATAGTGCTGGTTTGGGGCAGCAGATTACAAGGAGAGTGGCTCCTCTAAGGGAGAGAGAGGTGAAAGATAGCCCCATATTCTATTTTTTATTTCTGTGAAAACCGTTGTTACCAATAGCCTGGCTTTCTCACAGCCTGTGTCTTGTGAGGGCTTAAAGATGGATTAATTCACTAGGATCATTCTATTAAGAGGTCAGGAAGCCATACTCAAGGTTTCCTTGGAAAGAGTGCCTACCTTGATGACATTGTCCTTACAGTCCACCACTCGTTCAAATGTTTGGCTGAGGATCTCAATGTCCTTATGAAGCTCTCTGGTCTTGACTTCCCTAAGGACAGTTCTCCACTGTGTGTTAATCTTATTAAGGTTCAAAGCACTGTTGTGTTCCTCCTTGGCCAGCTTGTCCTGTGTGAAGGAATAAATATACCTCCAGGAAGTCAGGGCCTTTCAGTACAACAAACAAGATCACTCTTAATTTATCAGCTGACGCCTTACCCCTTTTCGATGGGAACGGCCTGATGGCATTTAGGGAGGGCAAGGGTGAATTTCCTTCAGGGTGGGAGCATCAGAGTAGGATGTTGTTTGTAATGACCCATCTCCAGGGAGAATATCAGCATTCCAGACAGCTGGGATAGCGGACAGGACCTAAGGGCCCAGTTCTGTGATTCAATAGAGACCGCCAAGCTGTATACCACGCACCCCCTCCATGCTTCGCGGAGAACACCCCCGCCTCCCAAACAATGTTGCCTGAAATCTAAGTATATCTGGGTCTCAGGATTTCCGGAGGAGGGGAGGTCAGGATGAAAATGAGGTTTCCTCAGTGACAGGCCAGCGCAGCGGGTGGATGGGGTTGAGCAGGACATAATGCAAAAGGCCATCACCTTCAAGAACTGGCTGAGGAGCCTCTCTTTCTTTTTGGCCATCTCCTCCTCTGCCAGCAACTTCTGTTGAAACAGAAGCAGCTGCTCCTCATCGGACAAGGAGGTCTTGGCCTTTTTTTCTTTCTTAGGCATGGCGGGGCAGGGGATTGGATCCGGGAAAGAAGCTTCGGCCTGTCTCGACCCGCGTTACAGAGCGTAGAAGAAAAATGTCCCTAAAAAGGGGCCTTCCAGAACTGCCCCTGGTTGTGGGCGGTTGTGGGACCTGAGATCTCAGCTCTCGCACGAGAGAGACCCCGGACTATCAGTGAGGCTGAGCTCTCCCACTGTAAGACGCATCTAGTCTCCTAGCAACGAGGATCTCGCTAACATAGAGAGGCAACGGCTAGAAGAGTCCATGTCTTGGAGCGCCCCCTACCCAGTGGAGGACCGCGGTCGATTTTTGAGAGGGTCCTTTTAACCTCTCAAAAACCTGTCTCCTCAGTGCTTTTTTTTTTTTTTTTTTTTTTTTTTGAGACCGAGTCTTGCTCTGTCGCCTAGGCTGGGCATGATCTCGGCTCACTCAACCTCCGCCTCCCCTGTTCAAGCAATTCTCCTGTCTCAACCTCCCCTCAGTGCACTTTTATAAACCTTCCTCAGACCCCGTGGGAAGCCCAAGATCGTCAAAAACAGAACGAAGAAGTCTGACCGATATGTCAAAATTAAGTGTAACTGGCGGAAACCCAGAGGTGTTGACAACAGAGTTCGTAGAAGGTTCAAGGGCTAGATCTTGATGCCCAACATTGGTTATGGGAGCAACAAAAAAACAAAGCACATGCTGCCCAGTGGCTTCCGGAAGTTCCTAGTCCACAACATCAAGGAACTGGAAGTGCTGCTGTTGTGCAACGAATCTTACTGTGCTGAGATCGCTCACAATGTTTCCTCCAAGAACCGCAAAGCTATCGTGGAAAAGAGCTGCCCAGCTGGCCATCAGAGTCACCAACCCTAATCCCAGGCTGCGCGGCAAAGAAAATGCGTAGACAGCTCATGCATGTTTTGTGTTTAAATAAAACTGTAAAAACTGCAAACAACAACAACAACAACAAAAACCTTTTTAAAAAAGGTAAGTGTTGGAGAGAATGTGGAGAAACGGGAACCCTCATATATTGGTGGTGGAAATGTAAAATGGTGTAGCCACTTTGGAAAACAGTTTGGCAATTTTTTTAAATGTTAAACATAAATTTACCATGTGACCCAATAATTTCACTCTTAGGGATCTGCCTAAGAGAAATGAAAGCATACATACACACAAAAACTTGCACAAGAATTTTCTTCTCTGTCTCACTCATAATAGCCCAATTGGAAAAATTAGAGACAACCTAAATGTCCATTAACATGTGAATGAGTAGACAAAATATGCTGTGTCCATACAATGGAATATTATTCAGAACAAACTATGGATACCAGCTACAATGTAGGTGAACCTCAGAAAGAATATGCAGGCTGGGCGCTCTGGCTCACACCTGTAATCCCAGCACTTTGAGGGGCCAAGGCGGGAGGATTGCTTTAGCCTAGGAGATTGAGACCAGCTTGAACAATGTGGCGAAATCCCTTCTCTACAAAAAATACAAAAGAAGTTAGTCGGGCGTGGTGGTGCATACCTGTTGTCCCAGCTACCCCAGGAGGCTGAGGTGAGAGGATCACCTAAGCCCCAGAGGTCAAGCCATAATCAAGCCATTGCGCTCCAACTGGGTGACAGAGCAGCCCTGTCTCAAAAAAGAAACAACAAAAACAAAACGAACAAACCCTTTTTTAGACTGGAGTCTCACTCTGTCACCTAGGCTGGAGCAGTGCATGATCTCAGCTCACTGCAACCTCCACCTCCCGGGTTCAATAAATTATCCTGCCTCAGCTTCCCGAGTAGCTGGGACTACAGGTGTGCACCACCAAGGCTGTCTAATTTTTGTATTTTTAGTAGAGATAGGGTTTCACCATGTTAGCCAGGTTGGTCTCAAACTCCTGACCTCACATGATCCACCCACCTCGGCCTCCCAAAGTGCTGGGATTACAGTCGTGAGCCACCATGCCCAGCCAAAAAAACCCTATGCTCGGCCGGGTGCGGTGGCTCAAGCCTGTAATCCAGCACTTTGGGAGGCCGAGGCGGGCGGATCACAAGGTCAGGAGATCAAGACCATCCTGGCTAACACGGTGAAACCCCGTCTCTACTAAAAAATACAAAAAAACTAGCCAGGCGAGGTGGCGGGCGCCTGTATTCCCAGCTACTCGGGAGGCTGAGGCAGAAGAATAGTGTAAACCCGGAAGGCAGAGCTTGCAGTGAGCTGAGATCTGGCCACTGCACTCCAGCCTGGGTGACAGAGCGAGACTCCGTCTCAAAAAAAAAAAAACAAAAAAACAAAAACAAAAAACAAAAACAAAAAAAAAAACTCTATGCTCAGTGAAATAAGCCAGATACAAGTGATTACATATTGTATGGCTCCATTTATATGAAATATCTGGAAAAGGCCAAGCTATAAAGACAGAAAGTAGATTACCTTCTTTCTTTTTTTCTTATTTTCTCTCCTTCTTTCTTTCTCTCTCTCTCTCTCTCTGTCTCTCTCTCTCTTTCTTTTTTTGGCTGAGTCTTGCTCAGTTGCCCAGGCTGGAGAGCAGTGGCACAGTCTCGGCTCACTGCAACCTGCACCTCCCAGGTTCAAGTGATTCTCCTGCCTCAGCTTCCCAAGTAGCTGGGATTACAGGCACCTGCTACCACGCCCGGCTAATTTTTGTATTTTTAGTAGAGATGGGGTTTCACCATGTTGGCCAGGCTAGTCTCAAACTCCTGGCCTCAAGTGATATACCTTGGCCTCCCAAAGTGCTAGGGTTACAGGTGTGAGCCACCGCACCCAGCCAGATTACCTTCTTTCTAACCCCCTAACCCCCAGTGGGAAATCCTAACCCCCAATGGAATGATATTAGGTGGGGCCTTTGGGAGGTATTTAGGTTTAGACAGGTCATGAGAGTGGAGCTCCCATTATGGGATTAGTGTCCTTAGAAGAAGAGAAAGAGACTAGCATTGTCTCTCGGCTTTGTGAGGATATTGGGGAAAGACAGCCATGTGCAAACCAGGAAGAGAGCCCTCACCAGACACCAGATCTGCCAGCACCTTGATCTTGGACTACCCAGGCTCCAGAGCTGTGAGAAATAAACATCTGTTGTTTAAGCCACCTAGTATATGGTATTATGTTATGGCAGCCTGAACTAAGACAATTTTCTATTATCTGTGGGAGGGGAGAGGAAGATAGTATAATAGTAAATGTGTATAAATATATATAGTAAATGTGCTTGAGGGATAATACTGGGATGTTGAAAATGCTCGAAAATGTATTTATGTTAAACAAGTTGATGAATTTGGTTTGAAAAGTCATTGAGCCAGATGCCATGGCTCACCCCTATAATCCTGGCACTTTGGGAGGCCAAGGAAGGAGGATCACTTGAGCCCAGAAGTTCAAGATCAGCCTGGGAAACATAGCGAGAACTTGTTTGTAAAAAATAAAAATAGTCTGGGCATGGTGGCTCACGCCTGTAATCTAAGCACTTTGGGAGGTTAAGGTGGGTGGATCACAAGCCTGGCCAACATGGTGAAACCCTGTAGCCAGGCGTGGGCATGGTGGCTCACACCTGTAATCCCAGCATTTTGGGAGGCCAAGGTGGGTGGATCACCTGAGGTCAGGAGTTCAAGACCAGCCTAACCAACATGGAGAAACCTTATCTCTACTAAAAATACAAAATTAGCTGGGCGTGGTGTCGCATGCCTGTAATCTCAGCTACTCAGGAGGCTGAGGCAGGAGAATCACTTGAACCTGGAAGGCAGAGGTTGCAATGAGCTGATATCGTGCCATTGCACTCCAGCCTGGGCAACAAGAGCAAAACTCTGTCTCGAAAAAATAATAATAATAAAATAAAATTTAAAATAAAAATAAAAAGCCTGGGCCGGGCGCGGTGGCTCAAGCCTGTAATCCCAGCACTTTGGGAGGCCGATGACGGGCGATCCGAGGTCACGGAATCAAGACCATCCTGGCTAACACGGTGAAACCGTCTCTCTACTAAAAAATACAAAATCTAGCCGGGTGAGGGTGGCGGGCGCCCTGTATCCCAGCTACTCGGACGGCTGAGGCGCAGGAAATGGCGGTAAACCCGGAGGCGGAGCTTGCAGTGAGCTGAGATCCGGCACTGGCACTCACGCCTGGGCAACACGAGGCCAGACTCCGCCTCAAAAAAAAAATAAAATAAAATAAAAAAATAAAAATAAAAAGCCTGGTTGCGGTGTGGTGGCTCCATGCCTGTAATCCCAGCACTTTGGGAGGCTGAGGTGGGTGGATCACTCTTGAGGTCAGGAGTTCACAACCAACCTGGCCAACCATGGTTAAACCCTGTCTCTACTAAAAACACAACAATTAGCCCAGGTGTGGTGGCACACATCTGTAGTCCCCAGCTACTTTGCGTGGCCTGAGGTATGAGGATTGCCTGAACCCCAGGAGGTGAAGGTTGCCTTGAGCCTGTGATCATGCCACTTGCACTCACCTGGGTGACAGAACAACATAGTCTCAAAAAAAAAAAAAAAGTCATCAAATTATACACTTTAAAAAGGTGAACTGGCCAGGTGCCAGTGGCTCACCGCCTGTATCCCAGCAACTTTGGAGGCTGAGGCTGGGCAGCATCACACAGGTCGGGAGTTCAAGACCAGCCTGACCAACTGGCACGAAAACCACGCGCTACTCAAAAATACAAATTAGCGGGCGGTGGCGCATGCCTTAATCACTCATGACAATTCATAAGTCCTAGGTTCCGTACTGGTCACATGGTCATAGCGGTATTAATAGCCACCTTTTTCTAACTACTAATCCTGTATTCCTTCTGCCTTCAGCAAGCACCTAACAGGTGTTTACCTTTCTTTTCTTTTTTTTTTTTTGAGTGGATCTTGCTCTGTCGCGCCAGGCTGCGAGTGCAGTGGCCGGATCCTCAGCTCACTGCAACTCCGCCTCCGGGTCTTACGGCCATTCTCCTGCCTCAGCCTCCTGATATACCTGGGACATACAGCCAACCGCCATCTATGCCCAG